TGTGATGAAAGCAGTTAATCCCCGCAGGAGAAGCCAGGCGACCTTTGACCTCTGGATATAAATGGTTGAAGATGATGTTGCTCTCAGTATCAAGTGGTTGAAATGACAAGTGTGGGAAACAATCCTGGAATTTATGATCTCTTCATATCACGACCTACTTTCAAGATTTAATTGCTGAAGATAAAAAGATATTTCAAACGTTTTAATTTTAAAAACACACATACTGTATATTCTCACAGCTTTGCAGCCGACTGCAGAAACACTACGGCTGTGCAATACTTACACAAACACCAAGCACACACACACTCACAGACACACACACACCTCACAGGAGAATTGATTGACTATTCTGTCTCAATACATCTCTCCTTCTGTTACTTAGCAACCGGTGCCTGAGAGGATATGGATGCTGGAGAAGTTGTACTCCTGAGCATTTTCACTTGATAAAGAGATATGATTAATGAAAATGTCACCGTCACTGTGAGGAGGGATGACGGGAAGAAATGACGCAGACGTAAAAGAGGGAACGTGGTGTTTTGGATCTTGTTGTTTTCTTACTGTAACGTGTGTCTTAAGTCTCGAGTTAGGTTAGTCCTCAGCTGAAGGAGAGTGAGGATCAATGTGCAGAATATCCTAATTTGATGTTTCAGTGTTGTGCCTGTTGAAGGAGCCGATTAGGTTGTTATGTTTGTATGATTCTTTAGTTGTAAATGCAGCAGAACATGTAAAAAAAAATGCTTTTGTCTCGATAAAAACTGAAAAAAAAAAATCCCTAATTTAACAGTTGTTGCTTTAAATAGAAACAATATCTTACATGTATTTTTACTTTTTAATACAGATATTCTTGAGATGTAATTATGTTGATTTTATTTCCTTCACAGTGTTTAATTCCCTGTTTGCTCTGACTCATTAGACTTTAACAAGGAATATATATTGGTTATAGGGTGTCATCTGGAACAGCTAATAATAGACAGACTGTATTTTCTGACTTTGTAGACACACACTCTTCACTATGCCTGCAACAGAGACAGAGTGGAGGACATGTCGTGTACGGCAAAGCAAACGTTCAATACAACACTGAGGTGCTGCTTTATAAATATAAATGTATCTCATGTGTGAGGTTTTACACAAAACACTAGATTTAATAGCTTCTTTTAAAGGATGCACTCGCTGCAGTAAAAGACTTTTAATAGGTTGGATTAACTCTTGGAATCAGAAGAAGGTTATTAGGAATTTGTCTTGATGTTTGGTGTAGATTATAAATACAAAATAAACACAAGTAGAGGAAATAAAAATAAGACAAAGTGTCTTGTGTTTTGTAATGACTCTAAATGTAATGCATTTAAACACATTACTTCCCCAAATACATAAACGTAATCTCACACTGACTGTGTTGATATTTAAAAGGTTTTGATACAATAAATAATTAAAATAAAAAATAAAAAATACAAAAAGTATTTTTTTAATTAATATTTTTCTAATTACTGCACTGTTGCTCACAAAGCTACATTCAGTCAGTTTGTAGAAAATATCTGTGCAGCTCCAGGATTTATCTCACACTGTAAATTTCTTAATATTTCCTTTGAACTTCCTCTTGCAGCCAGCAATGTATCTTATATTTTGTTTTTTAGTTTTGCATTTAAATATCTCCTTTAATGTGTCTCATCTCACAGAAAGAAGAACTCAGTATCTTTAGTTATTCTTTTTGTAAAACGTGCAATCAATGCCACATGTTACAGGCTTTGTGATGTTGGCTACAGGCAGCAGATAAGCATATGAGACGCTGCTGTACTTGCACATAAACAAGCTGCATGTGGTGCACTTCAGCACATTTTGAGGACAGAGAGGAAACATCTAAAATATTTAGATGATGTTAGATCATTTTTTGACAGGGTTTTTTGGCCTCTGTAAAATGAAGAGGTGGTGAATTTGGCTGACAGGGTGACGATGGATTATTTGAGATATTGAAGGAATCACACACATCTGAATATATAGTATATATAATAGTATACAGTAATATATAATAGTGGATATACACACAAAAACTGTCCTCTCATTCTGCAGAGATTTAATTTAAATCTAAGTAAATAAATAAATTAATAAATTATAAATGCACTGTTATGTTGCTGTAAACACTTGAATAAACATCTTACATATATTTTACATTTACACACGCGCCTATTGTCGTCGACGTGAGAAAACCATGATGTCACAAGTGCAGAAAAATGTGTTGAGCTCACTGCAAACCCAAAATAACACAATCATTATGTGCTGTGTTACTGTAACTGACCCTGACCACAATAAAACAATTATTCGATAAAATACAATAAATAAGAATATTTCATTTCCCTCCTCCTCATCGAAACAAGCTCTTTGCTGTGAAGCCCGTCACAGTCACGAGCTAAATTACAGGCCCACGCGGAGATCATCATTATCGGGAGGAGGAGGAAGCAGAAGTTTTTAATGGCCTTTTACTCAATAAGACAATAAAACAACAGCTGACATTTATTTTCTTCTTCTTCTTCTTCATATGTGCCAGTCACATGTGCTACAGGTCAACGCCGAGCCAAACGATCCCACACAAACGCCTCTGTGTTTATAAGGAAACAGCGCCGCGCGGGATTGAAGTGATCGATGATCAATATATCGACCGCGGAGATCAATTTCTGAACTTTAGCCGAAACAGCTTAGCCATGAAGCTTTATGATATCCGGGAATAACTGTGAGGATGGATGGATTTTTTTCCGGTTCAATTTAAAGCCGTACTTGGTTATAATTATTAATTTTGACCTCGTGCTCTTAAAAAAATACATTTATGATCAAAATCAGGTGAATAAAAGCAGAAAAAGTGAATTAATGTCTTTATATTTTAGGGTTATTTTGGTTTGAGGCCTGTGGCTCACACACAGCAAAATATGTGCTCAGAAAAGTGTGTGTGAGTGTGTGTGTGTACCTCTCTGGTCAGCTTTTTAATATCTTAACAAAATAACACACCATAAATATCAAACTACTGAAAATATATTTTCTATTAATGTTTATTTTAGGTTTAAAAAAAACCCGCAAAAAATCATTTTTTCAGCTGAGTGCAGCATCCAAAGCAACGAGCATTTAATTAACTTGTTTAAACTATAACCTCATTCACAGCATTGATTATAAGTTGTAAAACATCCTTTTCTAAAAAAGCTCCATTTAGCTTTATTAAGGACTTTGTTTGAGCTTTGTCACAGGTGAATTAAAGGAAGAATCTGCCCCTCTGTCTGTGAATATTAAAGTTCTGTTAATGGTTAAAGAAGAAACTGAATAAAACGGATAGAAATTAATATAAATATCTTTATCTTATGATATTTAATTTCTCATTTGTCCTGTAAACTAAATTACTGATGGAATCACAGATGGAGAAGACAAAGAGAGTATTAACACGACAAAGTGGCACAACTGCCTCTCAGATTTCACACACACACACTCACACACACACGGACAGTCAGATAAAACGGGCAGCAGCAGCAGATCAGCCGCGGTTGAAGAAGCGGATGGTCCACGCATCAATCACCGGTGTAGCTCTGCTCCTGCAGCTGACCGAGTGTCCATTTATTTCCGTTAGTTAGTGAGCACAGAGATTAGACACCCACTGTCTGCAAAATAAATAAAAATAATAATAAATAATACACAATACTACATGAAATAAAAAAAAGATATAGGCTCATTATTATTATTAATAATAATAATAATAATATTAGTAGTAGTAGTGGTGGTATCATTATTATTATTTATTATCAATAATAAAATAAAAAGCATTGTAAGAAAGCTCTTTACATTTCGTTACACTACATTTAAAAAAAAATCTAAATTATTGATTTAATATAAAATCACAGGTGACCCATCTGCCTCACAAGTCACAGTTAGGATATGTGTTATTTAATTATTTATTATTTATGTTAAGGTATAGGCCCCCCACTTTTATCATTTCTAGATAATTTAAAATTAACCTCTTGCTCTGTTACTTTCCTTTGTGATATTCCTATTTCAGTGTGTGATAGAACAAATATAATTAACACAGTATTATTAAGGATGGACAGAGCTGCTCTGAACTTCATCTCTGGACTTGGTGAACTTCGCCCAAACCCAACCAGCGGGCTCCTCTCTCATTGGTCTGCGGCGTTAGGATCCTAACTCACTTTGTGACCTCCTTCACCCCCTCCCCACCTACACCCACCCACCCCCCCCTCACCGGCCTGCGCCACGTCATTAATCTCTGTCAATCAATACTTCGATCAGGTTTATCACTAAGCGCATAAATGCAAAACCATACAGTCCGTGGGAAAACAAAGTTTATCTGTAAGGAACTCCTGCGACCGGAAACTGATACTGACTGTGTTTTATACTCCACGTCAGGCCATCACCTGTCCGCTGATTGTCATGTGTGTGCAGGTACACGCGAGCTGCACGCGTGCGTTTAAACCTCAGATGCACTTTATGAAATATTTACAACTTCACGACACTAAATTGTTGGTATGATGATTTAAACTGTGACATATCCGCTGTGAGGCTTCGTGTTTGCACCGGACGCGTTTTCATCCCAGTGAGGAAGACTATTAAGAAAACTCTGCTCGTACCCGCCCCACATTTTAAATACACAGAGGCGCGCTCCCATCTCTCTGACACGCGGCACAGCCTGCTCTTAGTGGAAGCGCTGTTGGACCAGAGATGAGATATCGCCCTGGAGAGCTCTCGTCCACATGAACGCATAACGCGCTACGGCGCCGCGGAGACGCTCGGTTCTGTACCTTCCGGAACATCAGAACTTATCTGCACCACACTGGATTGATCGGAGACTTTTAATCAATGGATTGGCATTCAAACGGTTTGGTAATTTTATCGCTCCAGGAGGGTTAGGGGGCTACGAGAGAGCGCGCGTCCCTGAGTGAGCGTGAGAGACAGGAGCGAGAGACAGGGGGAGAGGGTGGGGAGGGTGGGACAGGGGAACATATATCCTTTCAGCTATGGAGCTCACCATGGAGAACCTTCACAGCGTCTCCTCGCACTCCCAGGCGGAAGACCTCATGAGCTCCCCGCACGCGCGGCCGTCGCCGTCCCCCAGCTCCGCTCCCCGGAATCTGGTCTCACACGCTCCCGGCGCGCGGTCAGGCATGGTGTCCGGCATGGCCTCGCTCCTGGAGAGCTCCGGTGGGGACTACCGGACAGACCCGTCGTTGGCCGGACACCTGCACCCGTCCATCAGCATGTGCGACACCGGGATGAGCCTTAGTAACACGTACACCACCCTGACCCCTCTGCAGCATCTACCTCCGATATCCACCGTCTCGGATAAGTTTCACCACCCGCACTCACACCACCACGCTGCCGCCCATCAGCGACTCTCCGCCGGGAACGTCAGCGGCAGCTTCACGCTGATGCGGGACGATCACCGGGGGCTCGCCTCCATGAGCAATCTGTACAGTCACTACCCCAAAGAGATGTCCGTGTCCGGCATGGGTCACGGCTCGCTCTCCCCTCTGTCCAGCGGGCTGGGTTCTTTGCACAACTCCCAGCAGCCGCTGTCAGCCTACGGTCCGAACGCGCACCTCTCCACCGACGCCAAGATGCTCTCTCCGGTGTCAGGCTTTGAGTCCCACGCCTCCATGCTGTCCCGAAGTGACCAAGAGCACCTAGCCAGGAGTTTAGGAGGCCACGGCCACGGCATGATCTCAAACCTCAACGGCATGCACCACCACCCGCACAGTCACCTGCACTCCCAGGCGAACGGCGCGGTCATGCTGGGGGACCGGGAGCGGCACGGCCATGGAGCCGGGCAGGGAGTAGCAGGGTCGGGGATGCAGGCGGAGGAAATCAACACAAAAGAAGTGGCTCAGCGGATAACGGCAGAGCTAAAGCGGTACTCCATCCCGCAGGCCATATTCGCCCAGAGGATCTTGAGCCGGTCGCAGGGAACCCTCTCAGACCTGCTACGGAACCCCAAACCCTGGAGTAAGCTCAAGTCAGGCCGAGAGACCTTCAGGAGGATGTGGAAGTGGCTGCAGGAACCAGAGTTTCAGCGGATGTCTGCTCTCCGGCTGGCCGGTAAGATCCTGTCCTTACACTGTTAATATCTCACATTAAAAGTGATCAATCTGAAGTAACAGCCGGTCACCTTCCACCGATATTCCCCAAAATATTATCAGGCACACTAAACTTGCGCGGGGTGACAGATTCAGCACCACGGAAAGCTCAAAACAAAGCGCGGCTTCACCAGTCAAATATCTTTATTCCCTAAAACCTGAAACAAATATAAATTATTTATAGCAACAGAAATATGTAACTGTAGTGCATTTAGAGCTCTGCGAAACAAAGATGTTAGTGATTGTTTTGGGGCGTGTACGTGCGTTTACGCGCGCTGTTGCAGACTAAATTTGCAGGTCTATATTTTTGATCGGCACATAGCAAATCGTCATTGATTCACAATAAACCTCGAAATGGTTTCCCTCCCCCCCGACGCCTTTTTTCTCCCCCTCTCCCTCTCTCCGTGTCCGACTATAAACACACAGCGGTGGTGGGGTTACTGGGCCAACTAGTTGCGCGGGAGAAGCGGGGTGACCCCAGGCTGCCTGATCAATACGCCAGTTCCCACTCTCCCTTTTAAATGTGGCACACGGATCAATACTCGTATCGGAGCTGAAAGACGCAATAACCGCACGGTCTCTCCGGCTTTGCATTTAGTGGGCTACAGTGTAGTAAAGGCTCTAAATTTAGAGCACGAGGCAGGTGTGATGCAGGACAGACGCTTCTCTCGAGCAAAATGTCAGCGTGAATTTCACTGGATTTAAAAAACTGTAAAACACTGATCATAATAAACCCTCACACAGGACATAACTCATATAAATACAGATATAAAAAACCTTTAAAAACATGGCTTCTACTATTAAACTCTGCCTCCAACCCGGCCCACAGTGTATATGACCCCCAGATCCATTTCAAGGCAACAATAAGCTTAAACTGTGGAGATGAAATATTGATTGCAACTGGGATGGGGATTGCTAACAGGGACCAGTAGCCTATAGATAGAGCATATGGAGCATATAGAGTTTGTGATAGTGTAAAAGACAAAGGGTGATAAACATTAATGGGAATTCTGCTCTGCTTTAACTGTAAATAGCAGCATGTGAAGTTATGTGAAGATATTCAGTATCCATATTACAGTGAAATGCATCAGAGCTTTGATACTTCTTTGCAGGTGGATATTGCAATCTGCCACAGTAGATTTATCAGAATCACCACAGTGTTTTTAGACAAGATTTAACACTAGATCAAGTGCCAATAAAAAGCACACTTTCTGCTCTGTTGAATCAGATGGGTTTAAATGAGTTTTCTGACACTGATCAACTGAAGGGATAATTAGAGATATAGGTGTAGATTTCAGGAGGGCTTGCACAGGACATGCCCCTCCTCAATATTTAGAACATGTGCATTTGTTCCCGGACTTAAAAACATTACGAGGACTTTTGTTTTTGACAAAATTAAGACACTGACATGCAGCCTCACCCCCACTATTGAGTGCCAATAAAAAGTATCCACTCTGCCTAGTAGTTTTTATTGAATCAGTTCAATCAGAGAGGATTTAATCTGTTTTTTTTTTTTTTGACATTGAACAACAGAATAGATAGATGACACACAGGTATACAGGCATAAATTTCGGGGTGGGGGTGGTGGGGAGAAGGGGACATGCCCCCCTCAGTATTTACGACATGGGCATTTGTCCCCTACATGTAATTAAAAACATGAAAGTGGCTTTTTGACAGAAGAAAAGCATCAAACTGGTGCATAAATATTCCCCATAACGCAGGAAATTAAAGTGTTAGAAGCTCAAATTCTTTCAATGGAAGACCACCCCCCAAAGTTGAACGCAGCCTACGCCCTTGTGACAACAACATTTAGCAGAACCACTAGTGTATCTATACATATAGTGCCTATAAATCAGTTGCAACAGAGGAGTTTTCGTGTGTTTCTTACACTGATCAACAGAAGACACAAACGGATACACAAGCGTGTCTCTCTAAGGGGGTGCGGGGGACACGTCTAACTCAATATTTGTGCATTTGTCCCCTGCACTTAAAACCAGGACAACAACAGACGACTTTTGTTTCCACAAAATTGAAAGACATGAACATGCAGAAAAGGCACAAAGTGATGCGTAAAAATTTCACCTGACGAAACCTACACCCTTGACACATACGTACATACATGAGAGTAGATTTCAGGGTCCTGTCCCCCACAATGAAAAACATTGCAGAGGACTTTTGTCTTGACAACATTAGACAAATTAGAGACATTTAGATGCAGAAAAGGCAAACCTTGGTGCATGAAATTAGAATGTAGGAAATTAAATTTTCTGATGGAGATCAATCCCCATGTGGAAACAAAACCCTATGCCATAAAGTAGATGTATCGACAGATAGACAGACGGATACATAGGTATACATTTAGCGGGGGATGCAGGGGACACATTCTCCTCAATATTTGTGCATTTGTCCCCACCATTAAAAACATGAAAGTAACAGAGTACTTCTGTTTCAACAACATTAAAGACATTTACAGGCAGAAAGGCACAAAGTGGTGCATAGATAGACAGATAGATGCAGATTTCGGAGGTTAGGGGAGGGAAGAGGGGACAGTACTTACAACAAGGGCCTTTGTCCTTCACAATTAAAAACATGAAAGTAACAGAGGACTTTTATTTTGACAAAATTAAAGGTATTAACCTGCAGAAGAGGCACAAATTGGTGCCACAGGAATGCAGGTAATTAGCTGAAGTGTTTAACGCTCCAGAAAATTTCTAGAGACAAAATCTACACCCATAGATAGATGGATAGATGGATGTGTAGATAGGTTCGTAGCTAGGTGTAGATGTTTGGGGTGGGGGATGACGCAGGGAACATGTCCCCCTCAATACTTACAACATGGGCCTTTGTCCCTCAGCTAGAAACTTGAAAAGAAGCAGAGGACAAAATTAAAGACCTGCAGAAAAGGCAAAACTTGGTGCAAGAAATCACAAGAATGCAGGAAATTAGCTGAAGTGTTTGACGCTCCAGAAAATTTGGAGCCCCCCCGCCCTTTAATATGTGCCCACCTCCCCAATATGGAAACAAAATCTGTGCCCTTGGATAGACAGATAGCTGTAGATATGAGGGATAGGGGGGATGCAGGGGACATGTTCCCCTCAATAAATAGAACATGTCCTCCACAGCTAAAGACATGAACGTAGCAGAGAACAAAATTTGACTCAACTAAAGATGTTTACAGACAGAAAAGGCAAAAACTGGTGTATTAGATAGATAGATAGATAGATAGATAGATAGATAGATAGATAGATAGATAGATGAGGATTAGTAGCTGAGGCTGTGAGTGTCATTAATAGTGTAGCTCTGTCCTTTCAGTGTTTGCCTGGCTTTGCACATAGGAGATCAATAAGGTCGTTTCCCCTTCCCAACCCCCTTCTCTCCCACTCCCTGGTGCTCTCCCTCTCTGTTTTTCTTTCTCTCTCTCTCCGTCTCTCCCTCTCTGCAGCACATGACAATAATATCGCTAATCTTTCACTGGTTAACCTGGCAACAGGCAGGCAGGTTGTTTGGCTTCAGGAGATCAGCGCCACAGAACAAAAACAAAACAAAACACAAAAATCATTGACTGGACTCTGGAGGACGAGGATGAATGAGAGCTGTTTCATAAAGTCAAACAATGCACACAGCCATTTTCCACTCTCCCCTGCCTGCCGCTCTTACCAGACCCATCTTTTAATGTCCATCAAACGTGCTTGTGGCATGAAAGATTAATACCAGTCTGCTGTTTCTTATTTTCTTTCTGAAGAACCCAAATGGAGCAAATTGGGATGTGCAAAACTTCATTCGGCGCGGCCTAAGTGCAAAAGCGAGAAAAGCAAAAACTGACATGTGGTAAAAGAGCCGGGAGATGCCATTGATTGAGTGAGGGCAGGCAGGTTTGGGCTTTGTGTGAACAGCCAGATAGAGGCAGGGTAGTGAAAGGATCAATACCGACCTTAATAATTGATAAGTATAAGGGAGACGGAGGGGAGAGGAGAAGAAAGAGAGAGGCTGTGTTAGCGCTTGTAACAGCATCTTCTAGGTAAGCAAAGTCAAATCTGTGGTTAACAGCTGAGGACCACACGCCTAAACACCGCGGCAGAGGGTGTGTAAGTGGTTTTCAGGAACGCTGTTTACACCCAAAAACATCCTGTGAAATATCAACAGCGTCGATCTGACACCCGCAAGGATGGTGCAGACTTCCAGTGCTGAACAAACACACGTATGAAGCCATCATAATACAGAAGTGCAACATCTGTAGTGAGAGCAGGGCCTGTGTCTGAACACACACATGAAAAGACTGCAGCTTAAGAGCATCTTACAGTAGACAAAGAGCATCAGAGCGTCCAGTTGCCTATCGAGTCGTAGTAATGAGTGATTTCTGCTCATGTCAGCGAATCCTCAAAGCAATCCAAGGTTGTGATGTCATTTGATTTTAAAGGTTGCAATGCTTTATGGGGTTTGTAATGCGCCTTTATGGAGGCATGCAAGCACATTTCACCCAGCGTGCGTGCACGTGTGTGTGTGTGTGAGTGCTTCCACATGTGTGTGTGTGTGAGACTGGGTTATAGAGTGTGTCTGCACTATACATTGTTCAGGCTTATCTGACTCACTCTGAATCGGTATTGATTTCCTCTCCTCTGCTCTCTTCGGCTCTCTCCTTCCCTCCCTCCTTCCCTCCCTCATGCCTTCCTCCCCCCTTCTTTCTCTCCTGGCTGTGTACCAGCATCAGCAAAGCAGATCCTTTGCCTTCCACCCTTATTTCATTTCTGCTCTCTGGTCATCTCTCTCTGTAACAGACAGACTAATTCTGGCACATTGCAGTGAAATATTTTGACACTCGGTATGAGTGAGAGTGAGTGTGTCCAGAAAATATGACAGCAGAGAAGTCTGTAGATGACTTATTGCAGATTGTAAAACAAACACAAGCCAAATATTTAATAATGACATACAACTGATGAAATTAGATATTTGCAGAAGTTCTAG